TCACTTCTGAGGAAGACAGTGTAGCAAAAGAGACACCAGGAGGCTTCTGAGACTAGACCAGAAAGTCACACAGAATCTCTGTCTCTCTCTCTCTGAGCCAACAGGTGACCAGACAGGCACTGCAGCCACTGTACTGGAGATCGCACATAGATGCCTGAAGACCGCCAGGGGATCCATCCCGGCTGTCCAATCCTCCAGCCCAAGCATCAGAGAAGCCCTGCCCGCCTTGCAGATTCATGCAGAAAATAAATGCTGTTGTTATTTTAATAAGCAATTATGTTTGGGGGTGGGCTGCTATGCAGCACTGGGTCGCGAGAACTGACGGTAAAGCTAGGAGCCTCTGAATGTCCGGAGTGAACATTTTAGCAGCTGAGGCATGTGGTATTTGACGTTGGACTAAACACATTTCAGTGCGGTGGACAACAATTTTGAAGTGATTTTGCAGGCTGCACCATTTTAATGACTACTTTAGGCATCCAGATCCCTGGGTAGAGAAGACATGGGCCCTGTCCAGCGTGGAAGCTGAGGGGAAAGGGAGTTGGGAGCCAGAGACCACTCTCTCGGTCCCTCTTTTTCAGGAGACAAGGGAGAGGATCCCAAAGTCCCTGTGGGCTCCAACTGGGAGGCTTACCTCTCCTGCTTCTGAAATCTTCTCGTGGCTTCTAAGAAAGAACTCTCCTGTTTTCTTCAGCCCTTCTGACTGCTCATTCTCTATCCCTCTGCAGGCTCATCCTTTTCCTCCTGGCCTTGAAATGCCCGAGTTGCTAAGAGCTCAGTCCTGGGCCCTTGTCCTCTTCTCAGCTCTACACCCGTATATACTTCCATGGTGTAATAAAAATATGTATTTGGCCTCCGTCCCCAGTCCTGACATGAAACACCTACAACCCTGCAAATTTCCTGAGTGATGGAGTCCATTATGTAATGAGCCCCTTTTGATCACACCTATTTATGCTAATGAGATGATTTAGGCTAGGGCCCCTAGATGGCCTCAGTGTAGCCCAGGGAGGAAGAGGGGGCTGGAGATTGAGCTCTATGAAAGCTCTGGAACAATAAAGTTTAGAGAGCTTCTGGGTTGGCGAACACACTGATGTGCTGGGAAGGTAGTGTACCTGGAATGGGCTTGGAAACTCTGAACTCCTCCCCCCACACTTTTTTTAGGTCATTGTTCCTGAGTTGTATCCTTTACAAAACTGGATAAACTGATAAATGCAAGTAAAATGTTTTCCTGTGTGGGGAAGGAAACACTTTTCCTCAAACCCTCTTAGGTTCAGTGACAAGAGCCTGCAAGTGAAATTGACAAAGACAGATGAACAGGGAAAAAGTACTTCTCTCATATGCACTTGGCACTTCACTAGAGAGAAGTGAAAACCCCAAAAAGCTGTTGGGCCAAGGAGTTTATATCCCACTTTAGCAAAGGGTGATAAATTATGGATAAGTGACAGAGGAAAAGGTGCTTGGGCTCCTAGGGGCAGTAATTTTGGGAAGGTAAATATAAGGGGGAAACAAATGGAAGACAAAGGTTATTTAGTCAGGTTTATGTAGGTTACACGGTTTACTAAATTTATGTAGACTTAAATCAGTATCATCTCCAGGGTCATTTCTGGTGATGAAGAGAGGGAAACGCATGTAGAAGTGGATAGTTATTATGTTACTTTTACAAAGGGAAAATTATTCCCTGCTTTTAGGCAAAAAGTGGAGGAACAGAGATCTTGAGCCGGCTGTCTTCAATCGGTTTCTCAAAATAATCCTTATGATGAAGTGGCATATTTGCAATAGTGCATTCTTATCCCCTTCACCTGAGTTCTGTGAACCATTCTGGTGGATTATTGAACCCAAAAGCAGGGACTGTGGGAACACCCAAATTAGTACTTGGCTGGCCCAAAGTGTGGTGGCCTGGGGACATCACGTGTGGCTGGCATCTGAGAGGGAGCAGTCTCACAGGAGGGAGACCTTTAACCCCACAGGATCTGATACTACCTCCAGGTGGCTATAATCAGACTTCAGTTACTGGAGACCCAGGTGGTATCAGAAAGAACAGAGAAATCTACTAAGCTCAAAATGCCCAAAATGGGATTCATGATCTCACCCTCCCTCCATCCTTCTCCTTGGTGGTCCCCAGCCCCAGGGACTGCGACCACCTCTAGTAACCGCTCCTGTCCAAATCCTCAAGGCACCTCCACCCCTCCCACTTCTCCCATATGGGTCCATAAGCACACTGTGCTGGTTTCACTCCTAAATAGCTCTCAGATATGTCTGCCCCACCACCGTCACCACTACTCTTGTCCTAGGGATGGTCACCTTTCCCTTGGAAGATGGCAATAGTCCCCTAACAGATTCATCCACATTGCCTCTATCCCTCACAGTCTGCTCATCAACCTGTTTCCAGAATGAGCTTTCAAAACTTAAATCTGGTTAGTCACATCTCTGATTCAAAACCCTTCAGTGGTTTCTCATTGCTCAAGATCCTGAGTGGCTGGCCCCTTCCTACCCCTGCGTCCTCAGCCCTCCGCCCTTGGGCCACACAGTCTTCTTTCAGCCTCTCCCTATGACCCATATTCCCTCCCATGTGGGGCCTTGTGTGGGCTGAAATGTCCCCTCAGGGCCACTCCCCTTCCTCCCGGAGGCCTCCCTGACCAGGCTGCATCCTTCACAGCATCTGCTAGAGTGACTGAGTCTATATTTGTGTGGAGTTCTGGTTAATGTTGGTCTCCTCCAACACATTGAGGGCTCCTTGAGGGTGGAGTCCTCTACCATTTTCACCAAAGAGTAGAGTGACAGGGCTGGACCCAGGCCCCGCACAACCCTGAGAATGATGCCTCCTTAGGTCCCAGTCCTTGGGCACCTCACTTTCTCCTGTCCCTGTCCCACAGTGGGCACATGCTCTGAGAGGATCACCACAGCCTCAAAATCTCTTTGAAATCCTATTTCTATCTTCCAAATAGTTTGCAATTTTGTGTTTAACTCCATAATACATAAATGTTTATCTAAATGTAAAAATAATGTCTTCTTCCTCAAATCTTAGAATTGGTCCAGAGGGCAAACCAGGATATCTGGTGCCTCTCGTAAGCTCCCAAGTTGACATGCAATTATGGTATTCTATATTGGGTATAGTAGGACCTACCATTCCAGCAAGAGGAAGGCAGAGCCCCTTCCTCATGAACACCATCCCCAGCCGTGGCTTCCTAGCAATGGGAGAAATCTTTCTTCTTAATCATCGGGGCTCAAATGTCACCACACCTAGCTGTGAGGCCTGGGCAACGAACAATCTTTCTATGCCTTCATGTCCCATTTGTAGAGTGGAGATGGTGGTCTGAGAATAAGATCGTGCTAGAGGAGTCAGTTCAAACAAGCACTGTTGATGGATGGGTGCTCCAGGAATATGAACCATTAGTATAGACTACTCACTACTTTCTGCTTGCCCCCTCACCAAAATGCCTAAGGTGCTGGTCCCTTTTAATTTCCCTTCAATTTCTGCCAGACAATAAGGTGTTTTAGTTACAATGCCTCAGTTAAATGACTTGGGTAGGCTGGCTTCTTTCCTTCCTTCCTTCCTTCCTTCCTTCCTTTCATTCCCTCCTTCCTTCCTTTCTTCCCTTCCTTCCTTCCTCTTTCCTCCGTCCTTCCTTTCTTTCCTTCCTTCCTCTCTCTCTTTCTTTTCCTGAAATACTGGATCTAAAAACGCTAGAATCCCTAGCTTTTTACACAAGGAACCCCACAGGTCCACACGGGTTTAGACGTAGCTCCCAAAAGGCAGACCCTAGAGTCCAGCATCAGTATGTTAGAGATACTTTAAGAAATACCGACCCCCGCGTGGGGCCCAGGACCGTTTTCACAACTCCAGGTGACACTGACGCTCGCTCATGTTTGAGAACCATTAACTCCAACCAAGGTAAAGTCAGCCTGAAAAAGAAAACCGGACAAAACCAACCGCAAAAGCCCACTATCTAAAGTCTCCCCGGGGCCCCGGCCCGCGCTCCGTCGGCAGAGCCGCGGGTCGGCCGCCTCGCAGCCCCAGCGCGCGCCTGGGCCCCTCGCGGTGGCGGGGAGAGGCTGTGAGCGCAGCGCGGCGCGGCGTCGGTCCCGCGGGGCCCCCAATCCTCGGGCCCCGAGCGCGGCGGGCGGGACCGGGGGAGGAGTGGGGACGTGCGCCCGGGACCCGCGCTAATGGCCTCCGGCAGCTCCCGGCGCGGGCCCGCGTCCACTCCGCGCCGTCCGGCCCCGTCCCCGCCCCGGCCTCGGCCCCAGCCCCCGGGGCGCCGCCACCGCGGGAACGCCGAGGCGAGCGCGCCGGGCCGGGGCTGGCTGGCGAGCGGGACTGGAGCCACGGCGCCCTGAAGTTTGGGAAGGAAGGCAGGAAGAGAAAGCGAAGGAGGCACGCTCAGTCCGCGGCCCGCCGCCTCCGGGCTCCCCCGCAGGGCAGCTTCCTTAATTGCGCGCCTGCCCTGGGGACTTCCTGGGCCGATTCGACCGCCGGGAGGAGACCGCTCCGCGACCCGCCGGAGGGCAGACCCGCCAGGCCCCGGGGGCTGACTGTACGGGCAGGAGGAAGGCAGTCGGCGTCCGCGAGAGCTGCACGCCAGTTCACCCCAGGAGCTCCGGAGGCAGGACGGACGCGGGCCCCGCTGGGGTGGGCGCGAGGGAACAGGGGGGCCCCCGACTTCCCGAGGGCCGTCTCTCACCTTCTGCCCGAGCCTTCGGCAAACCCGCCCAGTCGCTCCGGCCCGCGCCGCCCCGCTTCCAGGTGTTCCTACGGCCCGCGCCTCCCCGCCCCGGGCCCTCCCCCACTGCCCGCAGGTTCAATCCCCAGAGCCGGCCCCACGCCCGCATCCTCCTCCCACTCCGGCCCTGGCCGCCGCCGCTAAAACCCGAGGCTCCCGGGTAGGGACTGCCTTCTCCTCTTGGGCCCGGGGCGGGCTCTGCGCGCTCCTGCAAAGACCCAAGGTGTTAAGTCTCCAGGGGACCCCTGAGCGGGGGGACGCAATCCGGAGCCAGGCGACGTCATGGAGCCCCAGGGGACGCTAAGTTTGGAGAAGCAGGGACCCGCGCTCTTGGCAGAGCCCCCGCCGGCCGAGGGGCTGCCCGCCCCGGCGGTCCTCTGTGCGGAGAGTGGCGGCGACGGCGGCAGCGGCGGCTCCTCGGAGGCCCCAAGCCCGGACGCTGAGCCCTTGTCCGCGGAGGAAGAGGCTGCCCCCCGGGAGCAGGAGGAGCCGTGGGAGTGCCGCCGCCGCCTCCCGCGTTCCTTCTCGCTGCCCGCGGACCCGATCTTGGAGGCGGCGAAGTTGCTGCAGCAGCGACAGCAGCTTGGCCTGGGGCTGGACCTGCAGGGCGGCGAGGGGGCCGAGGGCGCGCCGTACAGCCCCGGCGGCTGCTGCGCCAAGTGCAAGAAGCGGGTGCAGTTCGCCGACGCGCTGGGGCTGAGCCTGGCCAGCGTGAAGCACTTCAGCGAGGCGGAGGAGCCGCAGGTGCCTCCAGCCGTGCTCTCCCGCCTCCGCAGCTTCCCCATGCGCGCCCAAGACCTAGAGCAGCTCCCCGGCCTGCTGGCCGCGGCGGTAGCGGCCGCGCCCCTCTCCGCGCAACCTCCCCGGCTTCGGCCTCTTTTCGAGCTTCCCGGGCCGGGCGCCGCCGCCGAGCGTCTGCGGCGGCAGCGCGTGTGCCTGGAGCGCGTGCAATGCTCGGCGCCCTCGGGCGCAGAGGTGACGGGCTCCGGCCGGGTGCTGGGCTGCCCCGGGCCGAGAACCGTGGCGGTGCGCTACACCTTCACCGAGTGGCGCTCCTTTCTGGACGTGCCGGCCGAGCTACAGCCCGATCCGGCGGAGCCACAGCCGGCAGAGGCGTCGTCGGGGGAGCCCGGGGATGCCGGGGAGGAGCCGGGAGCCGAGCGCTTCCACTTCTCGCTTTGCCTGCCCCCCGGTCTACAGCCCCAGGAGGGGGAAGACGCGGACGCGCCCGGGGCTGCGGTCCACTTCGCGGTCTGCTACCGCTGCGCACAGGGCGAGTTCTGGGACAACAACGCGGGTGCCAACTACACGCTGCGCTATGTGCGCCCTTCCGACGCGCTCTGAGCCCTAGGCCGGGGCCCAGGTAGCGAGGTGACCTGCCGGGACGTCTTCCTGAGCACCGTCCACCGGGGAAGGAGAGGAGGGAGCCGCTCAGCTGTAAACTCGCACGAGGACAGATCCTTCGAGCAAGCATCGTGAGCCCGGGCAACGCACCCAACCTCCCCGGCCCGTTTTCTCCTCGCTTAGGCCTCCCTAGGCTGCTTCTAGAATTCTCGCCCTGCGCCAGAACGCGAAGAAATTCTTGACTGAGCCGTAGCTTCCTTCAAGAAAAAGGTCCTGACCCCTGTGCACAGCTGTAAGACCTTGGGATTTGTTCTTAACTGTAGACCTCGTGTTTTAGCCTTTGCAGCTTGCTGGAGACGCCTCAGGTCTCAGGGAAAGGACAGCCATCCTGCCACGTCGTGCCTGCCGAGAGAAGGCGCAGGACCCGGGGCGGTCGCCGGAGCCTTCACCCAGGGTCCTGTTTCTCCATGAAAACCGAGTGGGGCCTTGGCTGGGCTGTCCTTTTCTCTTAACTGGGATCTGGGGGATGTTTGCACAGACTGGACGTTATTTACTGGGTTCCTGTGTACACATGTCCTTTAAAGAATAAAGGCCACTTGCACACCCTTTCTCGCTGTATTTTCTCTTCCAGCTCCTGGGGGGTTGGGGAGGTCTTGATCTTCCTCAGCTCATCGTGCGGGCCCCTTAACAATAATTAAACAACAGGATTTCCAAGTTGTTCTTCAGTCTTTCCTCTCTGATGCGGAGAGGCCCAGGTTTCTGGTTCGGGGCAAAAAACATTCTTTAAAACGTTTTGTAGAAAGCTTCTCTTCCCTGCCAAAAGAAGGTGCTTAGTGAGTTGAAAGAGCAGAGTTGTCTGGTTGGCTTGCTGTAAGCTGCGGGGTTGCTGACCCTCAACCCCCTTGGTGTAGGCAGAGCTCAGAATAGCTTAGCTGCTGGACTTCTCTGGGCCTTTAGCAGCAGGGCAGAGAAGCTGGGCTCTCAGGCCTGGGTGATGGGGGGTGGGCAGAGAGGGAATGGACAGGTGTCTTTCTGTCCCCACTGGGAGCCCCAGTGGGTACTGATGACCTGACAGATGGTGAAGCATGCCCAGCGAGTACATCAGAACCAGATAGGAGCTCTGCGGGCTGGCCTTCCTCACGCACCTGCTGATGGCCATGGATGCCAGGATGAAGTGGCCTCGCGTTAGCAGGACAGGTGAGCATGCTGGGTGACGGCCTGATCTTTTGCCACACCTTGTTTATCCTTTGGTAGTTTTTCTTTCTTTCGTTTTCATAGTTCCCAGCACACGTACAATCAATGCATTTTGCAGTGGTAATCTTTAAGGAAGGATGGTTTCTAGTGGTGCTCTAGGGGAACCAGAGTAGGCATAGCACAGCCCATGGGCCTAATTCAGCCTGAAGTCTCTTCTTATAGACCCGAGAGCTGAGAATGATTCTCGAGTTTTTAAACAGCTAGAAAAACTCAAAAGAAGAATACTGTTTTGCGACACATTAGAATTGTATGAAATTCAAATTTCAGTGTCTGTAAATAAAGCTTTATTGGAACGCAAGCCGTGCACATTCATTTACATATAATCTCCGACTCCTTTCCTGCTACAAGAGCAAAGTTGAGTAGATGCAACAAAGACCATATGGCAAAAGCTAAAATATTTACTATCCGGTTCTTTATAGAAAGTTTGCCAGCTCCTGCTCTAGAGAAGTATTTTTTAACACTATATGCTGAGAGTTACACTTAATAAAGCAGCTAAACTTTTAGTAAGGTTTGCCACTTGAAATTAACCCCCGTTGTTGAGAAATGATACTGTTTACATTACTTTCAGTAATCTTGGTTAGAATAAACACTAAGATGCCAAATGTACAATTATTACTATACAGGGGAGAAGAATCTACTTGTCTTCTTTCATCTAGGAAATAATAATAAATCAGTAAAGCTGAAATATAGCATCCATCTGAATGGACATCATAGGAACTGCCGGATGCTTCCATGCTTCAAAATGAGATGTCTTAAGCCACAACAATATTTAATTTAACTTCTGGTTTGGAGACATCGCTTTTGACTATAACAGTGTTTGCTAGAGGTAATTCATTGGTTTGGGGAAAATATTTAAATAATTATTAGTGGAAAGCCATCAGAAGCTAATACATTATAATTTACACTTGGAGTAAAGCAGACTAAAAAATAGCCACGTCTATGAAATAATAACATTTAGTTGCCATCTAGTTATAAAAAACTTTATAACAATAAAAATAAGCAATGTTTAGAATTACATCATTTTTCTGTTACAAAAATAAGCAATGTCCCTTTTTGGTTTCGATATACTATTTCTTTTTTAAAAAGTGCATTATTGGGGCACCTGGGTGGCTCAGTGGGTTAAGCCTTTGCCTTTGGCTCAGGTCATGATGTGGGGGTCCTGGGATCGAGTCCCACAGAGGCTCTCTGCTTAGCGGGGAGCCTGCTTCCCTTCCTCTCTCTCTGCCTGCCCCTCTGCCTACTTGGGATCTCTCTCTGTGTGTCAAATAAATAAATAAAACAAAATTTAAAAATCTATTAAAAAGTGCATTATTGCATAATAATACTTAGATAAATGTATTTTGTATTTTTCTTACGTGTTTAGGAACACATTTTAGCTGAAAAGTATTGATGGTGTGTGTAGCCTCCGGCACAGTTTGACATGCTAGTTCCTATGATAATTGTGCATTATTTTGGATTGTTTGGGATTATTTAAAATTACACAAGGATGAAATTAGGAGCCCAATATCATGATCAAAATAGAGATCCCCTTGTCTGGCATTCTTTAAAACAGTAACCCTTCAAATCTGGAATAAAAGAAGAAATGGGTTCTAAAGAAGTGTGAAGTGCAAATTTTCTATTCTTTAAAAAAAAATATTGACTTTCAAAAATGTATTTTGGAATTCAAGCAACTAATTTTAGAAGTACTTATTTCATAATATAACAAATGTCAAACGTGGCTTTTAGGTGAGGAAATCTGGCTTTGCTGTCTCACAAATCGTGGAGAATAGCTTTTCTAAGGTCCAGAATTCTGTGGAATATTTGGAACAGCCCAGTCATGTGCATGCAGTTATAGCCTTTCGAAGTACTGGGCAATCTTCTCAATGTCTATTTTATTTTATAAAGTGCTAACTTTTCATCCTAGACTGATAGCGAACATTTTGTAAAGAAACTTAAGGAAGTTAAATAGGTTTTGATTTTGAAAAGGCAGTTTCAGAGGAAGGGGCAATAATCACGAGGCAAGGGAAATATTTAAGAGTATATTTCCCGAATGGAATGAAAACTCACACACTCATCATCCCCCAAAGCAAAATTCCAAAATTCATTGTTTTTTGGCAGGAATATTTACCTCAACTCGAGGAAATGTGGGTCAGTCTGGTTGAAATGTAACAGCTGAAATATCTTGCCCCGCTCTAATGAGACTCACTTCTGCTCAGAGCTCATTTAATGATGTTGACCTCCACCAGAGAGGTTCCAGTCTCTTTATGGCCATGTGAGTGCATGGGTCACTGGGTCAGGGCATGTTGAATGAAGCGTGTGTCTTTTTTTTTTTCTTTAAATTTTAAAGATTTTATTTATTTATTTGTCAGAGAGAGAAGGAGAGAGAGCACAAGCAGGAGGAACAGGAGGCAGAGGGAGAAGCAGGCTCCCCGCTGAGCAAGGATCTGGTTGCAGGACTGAACCCCAGGACCCTGGGATCATGACCTGAGCCAAAGGCGGACACTTCACTGACTGAGCCACCTGCGCATCCCAAAGGCTGTGTCCTTACCTGAAGAGTTTCAGAAACAGTGGCAGGAAACATGACAGTTTATAGGGAACAGAGTTTCCCCCTTACATCCCCCAGTCGTATGAAGACTTCGCTTAGGGAGGTCAGGATCCTGCTCCAGGGAGTGGGTGCTGGGGGGCTAGAAAGCCACGGAGCTTTGGGGGACTCTGAGGCACGACTGTTCAGGGACAGCTTTCCTGCAGCGCTTGCGGGGGGTGGGGCGGGGGCAGTCGTCTTCCAAAACCTAGGCTGCAGAGGTGGGGCATCTTTCTCTCAACTCGGGAAGAAAGCAGGCGCCCAGGGGGCTTTCGGTCTGACCACACCTTCTCCTGCTGTGCCCTTCCTTCTGCCCTGCCTGGAGCTGAGGTCTTCCCCGGTGACATGGTGGTTCCTGAGCTCGTTCACCTTCAGCTCACAGCAAAGCAGAGCCTTCTGCTCCTTTCATTTTGGGGAGTTGTAGTGTTCGTCTCTGTACGTTATCTCACGAGTTCCCCATATTGCTGCTTTCCAGCACAGCGGGTGTGCATATTTTAGTAGGACACGTTCTTCCATTCCCTGACTCAGTCGTGTTCCTTAGGAGCGTGTGGCTTGGAGCCACTTGGAGTAGTGTGATCTACATCACATGTGCTTTGTCAGGAGGGCAAGGAACAGCCTTCGGGAGGAAACGGGATGCTTTCCTTTTCTATAGCATCATGGCACTGAATCAAATGTGTATTTTTGATTCATGCAAGGGAGCACGGGTTTGTAGGTTAAAGACAGCCCTGCGACGTGTGGGAACTCAATAAGCAACCCTGACAAACAGTGAGCTGTTTGCAGTCCAGCCTTTGCACAGCCAATCCTCGTGAAACCAGGGCCGGGAAGGTCTTTCCAGAGATCTGCGATGTGCTGGATGCAGCCACAGGGGCAAAGGGCTGGGAGCAGGGTGGAAACTGACAGTCCCGGCTCAGCCCAGTGACCCCGGCTTTCCCTCAGCAGAGCAGTCCTGGCCATCCTGTAGATAACAGGTGGAGCCTGAAACCCGCTGGGAGAGGCCAACCCAGATTTCTCTTCCCACTGCATAATAGACAGAGTCCGCTAGGTGATCGACTGTGTTTTCATGTTCCTCTCCAGACTCCCTTTAGCTGATCGGGGAGACTACCGGAAGGCACCCCTAAGGGGTCTTTGAATCCTCCGAGGTATTCGGAGCTAAATAATGAGCTTAATAACTTTGGGCTCATTAGGATTTATGCTTTCTTGAATCTTTCGGATGGACTTTGTATTTGCATTTTGTGGAATCTAGTTTTTTGACCTTGGCCGTCTCTGCGGGGACAGATCTTGGCAAGGAGAGAACAGAGTCACATTTCAGCTGAATACCGGTTTTTGAGGTGGTGAAGATCAAGGGCTTACTTTTAAGATGCGTTGGTGAGATTTGCTAGTGAATCTAATAGAATACTTTAAGTCATGAGTTCAGAGCCAGTTCAACCAGGAAATCGACATATCTACAAACATCCCTGGTAAAGCAAAGGTA